ATACGAAAGTGAATTCAAATGTATTCCCAATCAAAACAGTTTACTAATCGTTCAACTATTCTCTGGATATATTAAACATGATATTAAATATTGCTCCAACTATTCTATTAAAGCTGATAGTGATTTTAATATGAACATGGTACAACAATGTCACGTTCACTGTCCAGTTTCCTGTTTGGAAAGCATCTATTTATATGAACAAAATGAGTTTCATAATACTAAAAGATACGTCAATTTTATACTGAAAGGATCAACATACATTTCTATAATTTATAGTAAGAAATACACATTTATAGGACTCATCATAAGTATGGCCAATATATTGAGTCTATGGCACGGAATCAGTTTCATTGGTTTACTTCAAGATATTATTGCATTCATCCATAAATTGTTAATTAAATTTGGTATCAATACTCTGTTTATAAAGATAACTCAAAAAATAACACGATCATTTAATTATACGTTTAAGATCAAGGTAAAGCTATATTATTATAATATAACCATTTTTCATTTTAATCAATCGTTCTGTAAATAAAATTTTATTTTTAACCTTTTTTAGATACCTTTCCTTACCCTATTGGCGGCAATACTGATACACCAATTATACGACATATCCATTGATTACTTCAGTTATAAAACAGTTATAATAATCGATACGAAAGCTTACGAAAACGATAATAATTTTCCATTCGTTACGCTATACACACCTTTCGACTTTCATACATCCAATTTACATCAGCATGTTAAATATAGCCCAACATGGTATTTCTTTAATAGTTCAAAACATTTACTTATCGAAAAAGCCGTTCTAAATAATATGTGGTGGAATGTATTGTTAGAAGTGGCAAATACCATGGTCAATCTTAATAGTTCACAATTTCTAGATGGTCTGTATTATTGGTATGAAATTATCCACTTGGCTGATGATAGTTGGTATAGTTATGATGAAATTTCTTGTAATACGCGTACAATTAATCTGAACAATGATATATTGAGCAATAAATGCACAGGACAATTCGCGAGTGTACAAGAGCAAATTGGTATACTTTGTGTATTTCTCAAAAATGAAGTCTCCCTTTTCACTAATCATTTTATATAAATTACAAAATATCACACCTTTATAAACAATCTAAAAATTATATTAACTTATTAATTAATAAAGTGACCCTCTTTCATTTAAACAGCTAAATCTAGATTGGTCCATATATTAGTGCACCCTGATCCATATCCACCTATCAGTGAATTTAGACAACAAATCAATGAACGGTTTGCCGGATATAATCACACGATTATTGTCAGCAAAACCCTGCGAACACTATTACCTAAACCTCACGGGAACTGTAGTTTCTATGATGGGTCGAGTGCTGGCGAACGACCATTCGGTGCGATCTCTCACATGAATTGTGTCCGACGTTGTGTCAGATATTATAGGAAACAATGGTACAAATGTTATCCCATTCTCATAGACAACTATTTGCATGAATTAGATTTCGAGACCAATTCGACGGAAATATATTACAATTATTTGACTGGTCTTCAGCGACATAAAGATGACATGCATTCAGAAAGTGTTAGGTGTTTGAAGTATTGCCCCAAAAATTGTCTGACAGTTGAGTACCACTCGAGAGTCCTATCAAGCGATACATACATTGGTAACGATTTGTGGCATAACTCGAGTCTCGAGAATATAACTACAGAAAAGTCGTACCAAACCCTGAGTTGAGTTGGGGACAAACAGATAGCCCTCCTTGGCCAATACAGAGAGTGTCTGATATACAGTATATCTGGAGGACTGTTTGGTCTGTGGTTTGGCACTAATGGCAAAGACTTCATCATTTTGTTGACAGAAAAAATGCATTTCATTTGGATTTGGTTTACAATGAAATACAATCATTACTTCACAAACACGAGAGTATATGCTTTTCACATACCTATCAATTAAATGTTTTAATTTAATAACTTATAATTGCAAAAATGGACTGTATTTACTTTTGTATTTTATTATCATGATTTCATAAAAGAAAGTATTTAAAACAAATAAATTTAATTAAATAGACTTTTGTTCATAAATGTATTTAATATACTTCAATAAGTTAATTTATGTCATTAAATGTAAACACTAACCTTTAAAATGACAATTTGTGAAAAATTTGTGACAATTCTATGTATATTCTATTGTATATGTAATTTATTTAAGAATATTCTATATAATCATATCTGATGTAACATTTATTACATGTTATGCAATAGAAATGTTTAAATTGTATTTACTGTTAAAAACTATTGTGTACTCAAAATAAATGGCAAAAGTGTCTTAGATATTAAAGTAATATTTAGAATATAAAGATTTATTTAGTAAAGTTATTAATAAACATAATTAATATATGGCCATACAAAGGAACAAATATTGTTAATAAAATATTTATTGTTAGATTTAGCTAGTATAAAACAACACTCAATTGTACTGAATAATGTTTTGTCATTTTCCGTAATATGCTAGTTCATTGCATTACAAAATAAATTAACATTTACTTTTTTAGTACAAATTTTGCAATCTTTCAATTAAACTGTTTATTATAAACAAAACACTCATTCATTTGGGTATAATGTAAGTTTTTATCTGGTTTATTTTATACAGTATTTATTAAGTTTTATTTAAATTTTATCTAAATTTAAGTATTACTTTGAAATTATTTTCTTAACTTTCATCATAAAAAGTAAACATACTATTTACTAGCTATTTATGTAGCTAGAGTACATATTTAAATTAGTTTTGCCATTAAATGTTCATTTTGTGCTATTTTTGATCACAAATTTGGATTCATAACACCTTTTCATTTAAAATTTAAAAATCATTTCTAGACATAACAAATGTCTAAACAGTAAGTTAACAGGATGCAAATTTTAAATTGTTTTATATTTTAATTTAATAAGTTATTTTATAGACTGATAAATGGCATTTGTCAAATTGTTTAGTGTATGTTTGAAAACAGTTTAAATGAGAGCATATGTTCTTACTATCAGTATATGATTTAATCAACAAAAAAGTGCTACAAATGCCCTCAATATTGTAATTGTAATTACAAGTACAAGGTATATATACAGGTACATTTTGAAAACTGATTATTATTTGAACATAATTCTTTGTTAAGTTTTGAATTGATATTTCATGTAATATTAAAATTTAGCATTAATTTTCTTAAAACTTAGTTCAATAGGAAGAATATAACAGGAATTTCATACGTAAGTGATTTTGAATTTACTAATTGATTACATTCAAATCTTATACTTTATTATGAATATTTTAATTTATTACACAATTTCCTACTATTATAGACTAGATATAGTAAAGTAGATATAGCAGGAGACTAATCAATTTTAATATTACTATTAATGTTTGAATATTAAACTAGTAATTAACATTTGAAAATGGTTATTTAAATAAGATTTATTAATAAATATTGTTTTATCTAATAATTTGCTACCAGTTTGCAATAATATTGAATTAGTTAATTTAGAAAATTTAAATAAAATTTACTTTTATTTATTAACATTAGTACTGTACTAGCATAAATTTATAAATTATTATTTTTATTATGTATTATTTCTGTAATAAAGGAATTTAATTTTTCGCAAACTCATAATAGTTAATACAGTATGTTGTGAAATATCATGCATTTATATCCTTGTCTGTCAAATTATATAAACTCATTATATAAATATTACAAACACTGTATTAGCAGCAGATTTAATAAATTTTGCAAATTACTGTAAGGGCAATAAAAAAACTATAGTACTTCCTTGATGAAAAATGCTTGACATTCAATTAAATATAATATATATATAACAAAAAATATTTATTGTTTTAAGCGATTTAAGTGACACTTTAAAAGTAATAAATAATAATATATTGCTAATTATAGAACAATTAAGCGAAAATCAAAAGTAAAATACATTTTAAATAATTTTTTTCTTTCATGAATATCTGGGAAATACATAGTTTTTGACGCACAACCCCTGCATCACATGTGATGTCATGATTTTGTCTACCATTCCCTTATCTCTCAGCCTAACAGACAAAATCATATCATCTTTTTTTTAACCATCAGTTCATAGCCTATCGATAGTCAGTATTTGTGATCAAAGTTTACAATACATGGACTTATCATACGCTAAAACACGTTAAATCAGATTAGAAAATGTTATTTAATTTCATAAATCAGTTGCTTATGTACTCAAAAGCCAATAACTTTTAACACGTTATCCAATTCACGCCACTATTTGATATCATTCATATAAATCATGCATGGTGCATGGTGATAATCATCAGGCATGTTCACGTTTCATTAAATGATAATAGTGTCCGGTGAACTTTTAAAAACTTTTCTGCGTATAGTAACAAAACTTGATTAATAATTAAATTAATTACTAGTTTGTAGTGTATTTTAACGCCGTTTTAGTGTTTTTACGTTTTGTTACGACATTCATGTAATGGTAGAAGTTATAGCAATGTTGCCAATGATTTACCCAAAAGCTCCCTTTCCCTGCAAACTTCTTGGGAACGGTATATAGCTTTGAGTATAAAAGTAGAAATCTTTCTCATGTATTCATAATAAGTATTTGATTTGTTAATAGTATTCTTGATGTAAGTTTTTGACAAACGCTACGCTACTTTTCTATAGCTATTTATAACTTTTAAAAACTTTTATAACTTTTCAAGTTTCTACAGCTTACTAGTAGTAGTGACTGCTGAATAAATTTGCATTAATTTAGTTATAAATCTCGTTTTCTGAAAAGCATATGATTTGATTTGATGTCAGAAATAACTTTTTAAACGCAAAAATAGTTTTCCTTTTGTGATACTATAATCGATTTTGTTAAGCAAAACTCAATTACATGTCTCGACATAAAGTGATATAAATTTCACGAATTTTTATGTTATTTCACTATAAAAATTAGATTTCAAAGTGAAATCAATTGACAACAACTCCTAACATAACATGGATTTTGTTGCCAATACTGACGAGCGGTTCAATTGCTGCGAAAAGTTTATGAAGTCGGCGCACATCACCGACATCGCCGACTACCATCGCATATACAGCCTGTCCATTCAGGATCCCGACGCCTTTTGGCTCGGCATCGCTGAGCAGTTTTATTGGGAGAATGGCATCAAAAGTGAAAAAATATTTTCATACAATTTCGACGTCCATAAGGACCCGATTGACGTCCAGTTCATGAAGGGCTCCAAAACCAACGCCTGCTATAACCTGATCGACAGGATTATCAAATCAGGTTTGGGTGAACGGGTAGCCTATATCTGGTGAGTAGACACCCAACCCCTCAATAAGTGACAAAAGCTTATAATTTAATAAAAATACAAAACTTCTTTACTACTAATGATAGGATCGGCAATGAATTGAATGAACGAAAAACCATAACATATAACGAGTTGAAGCGACGGATCTGTAAATTCGCAAATGTCTTGAAAAATCAGGGCATAAAAGCCGGCGATAGGGTCGCCATATACCTACCCGTGTCCATTGAGCTGGTAGTGTCCATGTTAGCCTGCGCTCGTATAGGTGCCGTGCATACTGTAGTGGTAAGGGATCCTATTATCTATAAAATTGTGTAAATATTTATTGAATTTTTTATACATTTATCGGCGAAAGTTTGCCGGATTTTCCTCACAAGCCTTAGCCGACAGAATAATTGACGCCAACTGTCGGCTATTAGTGACGGCCGACGGCTCTGTCAGAGGAAATAAATTAATTAAATTGAAAGACATTTCCGACGAATCGGTGGTTATTTGTAAGCAGAGGTAATGTTATGTAGAAAAATATTTATAGATATATTATGCGAGAAATTCTTGCTAAATATAATATATATGCAATTATATATTATCTGATTTTTATTTGTTTTGTTAGAATTTTTTAATTACTTGTTATGTTTTACGTGAAAACCGCAAACAATATCGTCAAAATTGATTCTATTTTATAAATCAGACTATTTACCAGTATCAAATATAAATATTTATGAATATAAGTTAATTACTAATTTATTACGATTGATTTTTAAAATGCTAGTCATTTTAATGCAAAATTATAACTACTAAAGTTAGAAAATATAAAAATAGTAGTAACTGATGTCAATAAGTACAGTATTTAACACTGGTAAATAGTCAGATTTAGGAATAAAATTATTTTTATTATTTTGTTTGGGTTTTTCATACAAAAACATAACAAATATTTATAAAAACAGACAATTCTAACCAAACATAAAATAATCATATAATAATAAACAAGTTGCATTTTATAATTTAACTATTTTGTAACTTTTACATAATTCTGGACTAAAATCACTATTAATTAAAAAACCTATAGAAACCACAACCTATTGGCGTGTATAGTGGTTAAGCACCTGTCCATAGATCTCAATGACTATAACAACAACCGGAGACACAAATACAACCCAAAACACGACCCAACCCTCGACTTATGGTGGGATCAGCTCATGTCTGACGCCAGTGACGACTGTCCCCCTGTATGGCTGGACGCCGAGGACCCCCTATTCATACTCTACACGAGGTTCTACACCAATCACATACCCAACCCCTCAACACCCCCCCAAAACTTACACTAAACCCAAACACTCTTTCAGCGGAAGTACTGGAAAGCCTAAAGGGGTCGTACATACCATCGCCGGCTATATGCTGACCACAGCACTGGTATTCAAGTATGCCTTCAACTACAGGGATGGGGACATATTTTTCTGTACGGCTGACTTGGGCTGGATAACCGGCCACACGGCCAACGTGTACGGCTGTCTGGCTAACGGTGCCACAGCTGTTCTGTTTGACGGCATACCTACCCATCCCAATGCCGACCGATTCTGGCGTATAATCGATGAGAACAAAGTGAACTCCTTTTATACGGCGCCGACAGCTGTGAGGACTCTCATGAAGTTTGGCGACGACTGTGTCACCAAATACCCGATGCCTGACCTCAGTCTCATCGCACTGGTAGGCGAGCCCATCAATCGGGAGGCCTGGCTATGGCTGTACCACGTGGTGGGCGCCGGGAAGTGCGCTATTGTCGACACGTATTTCCAAACGGAAACCGTAAGATAATCGCCGCAATTGATCCCATGTTTACTTACTTGTGGTATAAAAGGGTGCGCCTATGATATTCCCGATACCTGGCTGTATACCTATGAAGCCCGGGTCAGCTACCCTTCCCTTCTTCGGCATATTGCCCGTCATTCTCAACGAAGACGGCAAAGAGCTCAGTGGCGCCAACACTGGATACTTGGCTTTTAAGGTATTTTCGATCGCTTTTTGTGGGAATATTTCTCCAAAACACAGAATATTCTGTAAAAACACATATTATTCTAAGAAATCACTGAATACTGTGTAAAAAATCAAAATATTCTGTAGAAAACCATTGCATACTCTGTAGGAAACACTGAATATTCTGTTACTATTCACAGAACGCCTGGCCATCGATCGCCCGCACCATTGATGGCAATCACGAGCGCTTCGAAACCACTTACTTCCGAAAGTTTCCCAAATACTACTTCACCGGCGATGGTATGCTTAAGACACGACTTCCCTAACCGTAAGAATATTCTCTAACAAAATACGAAACCTATAGGCGCTGTGCGGGACAAAGACGGCTACTATTGG